TGTGTGTGTGTGTGTGTGTGTGTGAGAGAGAGAGAGAGAGAGAGAGAGAGAGAGAGAGAGAGAGAGAGATGACAAAAGCAATCAACAAATCATCAAAAGAAACTCAAATCTCCAAACACGGTCTTATCTTACAGCAGTGAAAAAAATGATGGGCAGTGAAAAAAATTCGATCAAATTCAAAGAAAAGTATTCGAAAAGTCAAACCCCCTTTTGTTTTTTCAAGAATCTGAAGCACACACAGAAAGCACCATCAAGAAAAATCCAAAGACTCTGCAACTCGGTGGAGACCCCCCAAGAAAAAAATTCACCTCACGGCAAAAAATTACAGACAGAAACACATGGCGGGGGAAGAAAACAAGATTCCTTTTTGAGAATCGAACTCACTGTTTGGACGGATACACAATAACATAAATATGAATTTGTAAATGAAAAAAGAAGAGAAATTCTCACCTGGGTTTCAGGGAAGAGAGAGTTTTGATAAATCTTGCCTTTATGAGGTTTATATGTATATGTGTATATATATGTATGTATATAAATTTAATTTATAAATCAAAGAGGAGTACCAGGTCAGCAAAGAACACCGGCCAAATACTAACTATGGGAGAAAGGCGCAGACAGTTGACGGAGATGGGTTTTTTTTCACGCAATTATTTAGTTTTTTCACTTTAATTTATGGGATTGAAAAATTGGGTCTTTTTCGCTGTTTCTTGGCAAGAAGCCGAGAAAACAACAAACAGACAAATCTGTTCTTGTATACACGGTGGTGTAAACTGCGGAAAGTGCATTTTCCTTTTTACCCAATTCAAATTGGAATGCTAGATGCAATTATTGGCCTATTATTCTATCCAAATTCACATAAAGATTACTTTTTTCTTTTTTATTTTCTATTTTTTGGAATTCTCATTTTATTAATAATAATAATACCCTCCTATTTTTTATTAGTTAAAAGTGGATACCTTCTTTAAAAATAAATTGACTATTGAAAAATAATTATTGCTTGCACGTAGTGAAGCCACAAGTATATATATCATTTTTCTTATGTTTAGAAAAGAAATGATTCCATGGTGTCCAACTTTGCATATAAAATTGATGACAAATTAAATCAAAAGGTATAACTCGGGGTTTAAGTAAATGAGCCGAGTCAGCTCGTGAGTTTGATAAGCCGGTTCGATAAAAGCTCGAGCTCAAGCTCAAATTAGTTGTTCATAAGCTCGTAAGCTCATAAAATGAAAGCTCGACTGGACGAGCCCGAGCTCAGCTCACTTATTATTATTTATTTATTTTCTCTCTCAAATAAAAAAAAAAAAAATACCGGTCTCAGGTGTTCAGGACAGCTCACTTGAGCCGAGGATCTTGTTGTAAAGTGGATTATTGCATATTGGACCTTTTAAATTTTAATGTGTTTACATGGGCTTGATTTAATTGGGCTTATTTGCCATATTTATTAGTATCCTTATATTGGGCTAAATGCAACCCGTTTGTGTATATATGGTTTTGAATTTTAATTTGTAGATATTAACTCAAATAATTGGTTCAAATCCAATCTAATAGATACTCCAAATATAATATATAGAGTAAATAAAATAGGGTAAAATTGCTTTTGTACCTCCCCGCCTATGTAAACACTTTAGAATTCCACAGGTCAAATATGCAATAATC